CTCCCTGTGGACCCTACAGACACTATAACAAGGCCAGTGCTGCTGGCCTCGCTGCCACATCCACTAATCCACTTTTAGGCGTCAGACAGTGCAGCATCTCTGTGCCCTCTCACTCTACCCTATAGGTGGCTATCCCCACCTTCATGAAACTCTCTCCTTTGTGGGTGTGGCTCTCCTCCTGCCTCTTTAATTGTTCCTCCTTATTCTCATCTACAGACACCTACTCCTCGGCCTGTCCCTTGAGTGTTCCTTTTCCTTCAAGTCTGTCCTTGGTCCTCTTCCCACTCTGCACATCCTCCCTCGGTGACCTCATTCTCTCTCATCCCTCCATGTGGTATGATTCAGTAATGACTCCCCAGTGTGCATCTTCAGTCCTGACCTCTCTCCCAGGCTCCCGATCCAAGTTTCTCCCTGTGTTCTGAGCACATATAGCTCATTATCTGCCCTTCTTTTTCCTCCCATTGTCTGGACAGATGTGCTGGGTCTCTTGGAGGGAATAAAAAAACTGGGCTGTTAGAGACTGATGCCCGAGAACACAACTGTGCGGTTCAAGGTCAAGGGAAATGGGACTTGGTCTGTGGTTGAGGTTCCACTAATGCTCACCATCCCAAGCTAGAAATCTCAGAATCATATCTGATTCATCCCTCTCCCCACTTTACAGATGAGACTGATGTACACAGAAGTTGATAATCTTGCTTAAGTTCCCATAGTTAGGTAGTGCAGAAGCCAGGCTTCAAACCCAGGCAGGCTGGCTCTCTCTCACCTTATGTGCAGAGCTTCCTTGCTGTGTCCCTGCCTTTAGCATTCCCCTTTCTTTCTTGCCTGCCACCACAGCACTTCATCCATCAGGCCTCTCTTGCATTCCTTCCTTCATCTTCCCTGCCTCCCTCACCCACACCCCCTCCAGTGCTCCATTAAATGAAACCAGTCATGCTTGGAAACGCCTAGTGGCTCCTTACTGCCCACAGGATAAGCTCCAAAGTTCTTTGTTGAGTGTCCAAAGTTCTTTATAACCTGGCCCAAGCCACAACCCCAGCCTCATAGTCCGGCAACTCACACCATGCTAATCTTCTCACATTGCCCCCAGAGCCCTTTTACAACAGTAAACCTTCACACCCACTGTCTCCTAGGCCTGGAATATTCTTGCCAACCCTCTGCGAGTCAAAGCCCTACTCTTCCCTGGCCAGCCACTTGAGATACCACCCCTTCTGCCATATCCTTGTGCAGAATCCCAGAACTCAGCATTGTTCTGTCTCCTACAGAATTCACTACGTAGCATTGCAGTTCAGCTTCTTATAAGTGATGCCCCTGTATCCAGCCCCTAAGAGTGGCTCAACATTCAAAGAATAGATGGATGGACCCAAATCTGGACTGCTGGCTCCTCCTGTTTCTGTCCCTATGTTCTTTTCACTGGATCACACAGGTCATAAAGGAAAGATTCCATGTGACATAGTCCCCCTCACTCTCTGTGTCTCATTTCTCTTCCTCATTTCTCTTCAAAGTGGAAGTCAGAGTCCAGTCAAAATATGGCAGGAGAAGAATGACAGCACCCTGATACACAGATGGTTCAGGTCCACAGAGATCATCTCAGCCAAACTTCATTTTGTTCAGGAAGAAACTGAGGCTCAGACAGGTTTGTACAAGGCCAGCAACGAGTGAGGGGCAGACGGTGCTGGAACCAGGATGCTGAGTCGCTATTTGGGGAGCTGCCTATTGCCTCTCATCTCTGCCTTATCATCCTGGGGACTGAGTGTCTCTTGATCGTCCCACAGTGATCTCCCAAACAGGCTCAGGCTGCTTGGGAGATCAGGACTCCCTGGTCCTGCTGGTACTTTGGGACCAGGAAGTTAACAGGCTCTGCATGGCAATTTCCCCATGAGCCAGCATTCCTTGTTCCCTTTAAAGCTGCAGCTTACCCAGCACCAGGCTGCACTTCTGAGTAGCACCGGTGGTCTGGGGCCTTCCACAGGGGCTCTTCCTTTGCTCCCTTGCGTCTGCCAATCCCCTGTCTGTGTCAGACACAGAGACTGATCCCACACGACCATTCTTTCTTCCCCCTCCACTCCCTCTACCTCCCATTTCCTCCCGGTTAGTCAGGGTGAGGTCACACTCAGGCTCTGGCTCCCAGGCCTCTCCCCAAGGACGGTGTGCACATGCATGGAGAGGGGCGGGTACAGCAAGGCATCATGGGAAAGATGGACTCTGGAGTCAAAGAGACATGGGTTCAAATCCTGGCCCAGGTTTGTGTCCCACCAGAGTCGCCAAGAAAACAAAAAACAAACAAAAAACCCTGGCCTCGCTAGCTGACCAACTGTGTGACCTCCATCAAGTTATTTCATCTCTTAAATCCTTTGCTGGAAAAGGCAGGGCTGGCTGGGAGGTGGTTTCCTGATCTGTAAAATGAGGATAGCAATACTTTCCTTCTGGTTTACTAAGAATTAAATGAGATGCAGTGCCCAGAGCCTGGCAGTCAGCCAGTTCTGGTTTGCTTCCCTTGCTGAGGACTGTGAAGGCGGGACTGTTAAGCCAGATCTGAGAAGTCCCGGCCGCCCACCAGGTGAGCTGGCACAAACGTGAGCACAGGAGAGCCCCAGCCTAAGTGTGTAAATGAGTGTGACTGGGCTGAGTGTCTCTTCCTTCAAAATTCCCCCCACCCTCTTTAAAGCTGTCATGTCTGTTCTTGCTGGTGATGAGAAGTCCAAACCCCTCCCAGGAGAGAGAAGGGACAACCCACCCCACAAAGCGCAAACAAAGAAAACAAACTTGAATGAGGCCCACTCCCAGCAGAAGCTACTCTGTGCAGGAACCACACCCCAAAAGACGTTCAAAGGGTCGGGGGCCTCCCTGCAGACTGCTTCTGGCAGAGGGCAGCTCTCAGCCTTGTTCCAGCAGCATCACACAGGTGGCCAAACCCATGGGACTTAGGGAGCTGGACACCTCCTGGCTAGGCTATCCTGGTATGGGACATGCTGTACCCATGTCCTGGTGTGGCACAGGCTCCTCCCCATGTGCAAGGGCAGGGACAGGTGGGCCTTGGGCTGGGGAATCCTGAGTCCTCAGAGCAGAAAGCACATAGCATAAGCTATACCCAACCTGTCTAGGGTCAGGATCACAGAATCAATCCTTCAGGCTCATAGAATCCTTGGGAAATCTCCTCCACCACCACCCCCCCCCGCCCCACCTTGAAGCATACTGGGCAAAATTATCCCTTAGATAAGAATGTCACCCATTGAAAGACCTTGAGTGAGAAGCTGATGTTATAGTCTTCCTCCCTTGGGAGTTGTTCCAGTATTTAATGAACTTTATTACTAGAAGTCCTTCTGCATAGTTAACCTAGCTCTTTCCCTAATTGAAGCCTATCTCTATTTGAGGTCTCAAGTGGAGAGGGAGAGAAATCGGCCTCCATTTTTTAGCAAACGTCTCAGGCATCCTGAAGGACAAAATTGTGGAATTTTCCTGCCTAAAAGGTTTTGGCCTAGGACTCAAGATTTTTCCTCTCTCTGACTCTCAAGGGTATATCCAGAGTCAACAGCCTTTTAGGAAACGTTGACTTCGCATTACCCTACAGCCCCATCCTAGACTTCCATCTAAACCATAATACAAGGGTACTCGTCGCATTTATTAAGTATAGAGTATAAATGTTTGAACACAATAATTAAGTAAACGAGATGAGATTTATATTAACCAGTGTGATGTAAACACGCCTAATTCTATATGAAAACAGTACATGGTACCCCATACATGCATTAATATATACATGACCTATGTGTTTATGATTTAATAAAAAAAATAGAAAAAAATAAACCTGAACTCAGCATATCAGACCCTAGTGACTATCCAGTGTACCCCTACACTGGGGTTCTCTTCATGCCCTTTTTGCTGTCTCCCTATAGCCCCCTTCATCCCATTCTTCTCTTCCTAACAAATTCCTACTCATCCTTCAGAGCTAGAATCAAATATTACCTCATCCATGAAGCCTGCTCTGAGCTCCCAGGAAGAATTAACTCTTCCCCTTTCTGTCTGATTCTAGGCTCTTTTTACACATCTCCAGTAAAGTAGAAATGAGATTGTATTGTAATTATTCCCCTAAAAGTCTCTCCCCCCACACTTGGCAGAGTATAGGTGCTCCCCCTGCCAAATTTGGGAAATACATTAATGTTTCAGCTGCGAAAACTCAGATCAAAAATATTAACTAACTTGATCAAGGTTACCCAGCTAGTTAGTGGCAGAAATGGGACAAAACCCCAGGCTTTCTGGCTCTGTATCTAATTCCCGCCCGTCTCCGTCATTCTAGGATCACCTACGACTGCTTGGGTTCAGCTCTGACATTCTTCCAGCTCACGCTCCTCCTCCCACTGTCTGCTTCAGACATCACACCCTGTCCTACTTCCCACCCCCTGGTCTTCCCGTCAGTTGCTAACCTCAAGGGGCAAGTTCTCTTCCTCGGCTTCACCCTTCTCTCTCCACGTCCACCTCCACCCACCCCACTATCTTTCCAACACCACCTTTCCCTGCCCACAGCTCTCCCTCCTAAACTAACCTCACCCAATTTGGTTTCCTTTCAAAGCGCCAAGCTTGTGTCCTCCTGAGCCTGGCTCCAAACATCTTTCTGGGCTTTGTTTGTTCCTGTTCTGTTCCCTCTCTTCTCCCTTTAAATCAAGACTTCCCTGAGGACACCCAGGCACTTCATCCATCCTCTGTGGCTCCATAAATTCTTCTGCACACAGTTCACGCAGGCTAAATGTCGACAGGAAAAGAACTGTTTTCTTAGATTTCCGATTCACAGCCAGCATGCAGTCTGCCCTAGACAGGTGTTCCATTTATCAGAACTCTTTTGAAGGGACACTGAAGAGACATTGGATCATGGGTTGGGGTGAGAGGTTGGACTCAGGATCCTTTAATCCTGAAAG